TATAATAGAAATCATAATACATTTCATATATCAAAATACATACATGTACATATACCATCATTATCGAAATCTCTATTTATCATATGATCTTGTATTTATCATTTCTGTATATCATATAACACATTTATCATTTCACAACTAAACATACATAATATCATATAATTCATGGAACATATTCCATATCACCAAAAGCATATGCATCATATGTATTGAATTTGTTATTGTCTTTTTATTAGCCCATATACACCTGTGATAACTTAAGGTATGTGAGTACATTGAGGTTGTGCACTAATACTGTCACCACAGCTCGTATAAATTCCCTCATGGAGCACCGAACATTTGTTCAGTATTCGTCCTGAAGGACCACTATGTCTCGAATGACCACTAGATACGTCTCGAATGACCACTGGATACGTCCCGAAGGACTAATATACCCTCGACTCTTGGCATGCCAACTATAACACTAGCTCTCATCATATCATATAACATGGGCATTATCATTTATACTTTTCATATCACTTGTTCTTTCTCTTCTGTCACATACCATATGTATGTGTAACCATATATTTCATATCATATCACATGTATCACAAGTGATATATTCACGTAGATCATTTCATATGACTTATATCATTCCTCATTTGTTCATGTAAACTCGCATGTCATATCTTGTTCACATATGTTCATATATACATCACATAGCACATAGTATAACATATAAACTTATACATGTATCCATATACATACTTTCATATACTTCGAATAGCAATGCCCTGTAATTTCTCACAGTTTTACCTAATTACTTATTTCACATTAATTATATTCTAGTTTCATATATTACTTAATTCAATTTCACATAGCTTGTTACCTATATAAATATTTTCTCATAACTTATCATCACATAATTCCCATAACATTTTCCTATAGCTTCATAAATCTTTACCATATGACTCATATATTATATGTTCATTTCAGCTCATAAATCCTCTCTGTATAACTTATTTTACATGTTCATATAATCACTTCTGTCAATGTCTCCTAATTTTATATTATTCTTATTGTCCTATAAATCAATGTTATTTAACTTATCTCACTTTTCATCTAATCTCATAAGTTGGTTATACAAATTCCTATATATATATATATATAACTCATGTAATTTATATCCTTTCTCTTGTTATCACATAAATCATTACTATTTTACATAGTTCGTGATCCTATAGTCACTTATAATATCATGTGTCTATCTTATCTTATATCATATAGTTCTTTAACTTATGTCTTAAATCACATATTTATATTACATAACGTATATAATTACATCCACTACTTAAACCAGTTCACATAACTCATTACACTAACATTTATTCACTCAATTCATATAACAGGTGCAATACATATAACATATGTACCCATTTTTATGTACTCATGCAAACATAAGAATCACAATTCAAATAACATTTTAGAAGTCCCTTCCTACTATAGTACTCCATCACTGGCTCATCACAAGCCAATGTTTATTTGATACATAAGTACAATTTAAATGGCACTCACCTTAGCCTTGCTTTGATTCAATTCTAATTCTTTGATCGTTCCGGAACAAGCTAACGTTTAGTATCTACATAATCACAAATGGATTTATATCAGTATTATAACTAATATACTATAATGATTCACTCCTTAGACTAAAAGAATAGCAAATTTCGTCTTTCAATGAAGGTATGCATCGATGCACTCTACAGTGTATCGATGCATTCTTTAACGGTGCACCGATGCACTACTTGTGCATCGGTGCATAAAATACATTCGATGTTTCAATATTAAGGTGATGCATCGATACACGCCTTATGCATCGATACATTAATTGCATTCGATGTTTCTATTATTAAGAAGTGCATCGATGCACTACTTGTGCATCGATACACCTTCAATAATTTCTGGAATTTAACCTTGATGCATCGATACACATTACATCGATGCACCCTGCCTAGAATCCTCTTTTTGAACTTGAAAAGTCATCTATTTTTGCTTAAATCCTTCATGTTTCATCCTCTTTTTCATTCTTAACTCCAGTACACATACTTAAATCAATCTATACTCATTTATTTCATCTTAAACCTCCAAATCCTATCATTCATATGAAATTCAATAATTACCTTAATTTTGCAATATGTGTTAATTCCACTTCTAACACTTCGTATGTCTTAACTAGATTGATGACAAGTCAAATTTAACTTTCAATTCTTATTATAAACTATATTTCAAGATTTCACTCATGAACTCTAAATCTTTAATATTCTTTAACTCCTTTATCTTTTGACTTTAAGATAACTTAAGCTTTCCTTAAACTTAGTTATCCTCTAATGATCAAAACCCATACTTAAAATCAACAAATAATCAACTAATCAGAAAACTTACCTTTGCTACGGAGACAGGGGAGGAAAGGAGGAAGAAGAAGAAAAGAGAGTTTCTGGAGAAATCTCTCAAGCTTATCCCATATAAATCATTATCTTATCCTTTCCAATTTAAATGACCATTTTGCCCTCTAATTCATCTAATAATTACTAACAACTTTTAGGATTTATTTCCAAATAAATCATTGAACTGATCCATTGTTCTTCTTTAGTTACCAAATTCTAAAACTTTACAATTTGATCACTAACCCGGTATTGAAGATGTTACAATAATTGTGTTAGATAAGGCTATTGCCTTGATCTAGAGAAGTGTCTATATGTTCCAGATTGCTCTAGAAATCTTGTTTCTGTTTCTAGGTTGGATGTTTTAAGATTTGACTTTAGGATTGGACATGGTTGTTTTTCATTGTATCGTAGAACAAACCTTTGTGGTACTAGTTTATTGTCGGATATTTTGTATTGTTTCAATCTAAAATTTACTTTTGTTAATTCTCTATTTAATGTTGATGTTGAATGTGATGTTGGTATGAAAAGGAATGCACTCAATGAATCTTCTGCTAACTTGTGGCATAAAAGACTTGATCATATATCCAAAGAAATGATTTTGAGGCTAATTAAAAATGGAGTTTTGTCTCAACTGGATTTTATTGATTTGAATGATACTTGTGTTGATTGCATTAAGGGTAAGCAAACCAAACATGTATCGAAATAGGCTGCCGCAAGGAGTTGTGGATTACTTGATTTAATACACACAAATATTTATGGTCCTTTCGATGTATCGTCTTGGGGCGGTGAGAGGTATTTTATCACCTTCATTGATGATTACTCTAGGTGTTGTTACCTATATTTACTATATGGAAGAACTCAATCAGTTGATGTCCTTGAAACATTCATTACGAAGGTTGAGAGACAGTTAAATAGAAAGGTTAAGGTAATACGTTCCGATAGAGGTGGTGAATATTATGGAAAGACATCAGAAATTGGACAAATTCCAGGTCCATTTAAGAAACTGCTTGAGTCTAAGGGCATTTGTACACAATATACAATGCCCATATCACTACATTAAAATGGTGTAGCGGAAAGGCGTAATCGTACATTGATGGAAATGGTGAGAAATATGATGAATGATAGTTTATATTTGTTTCATTGTGGATGTATGCATTGAGGATTGTCGCATACATATTGAATAGGGTACTTAGTAAAGCAATTCCTAAGACACCTTATGAATTGTGAACATCTAAGAAGACTAGTTTAAGATATCTTCACGTGTGGGGCTGTCAAGCCGAAGTGAGGATATATAATCCACATGAAAAGAAGTTGGATTTCAGGACCATTAGTGGTTATTTCATTGGATATCCGGAGAGGTCAAAAGGGTACAAATTTTATTGTCCCAACCATAGTACGAGAATTGTAGAGTTTGAGAATGCTCGCTTAATTGAAAATGACAAAGTCTGTGGGAGTATGGGAGCACGTAATGTAGATATAAAAGAGTCGTTGATGGACCAAAACCCATCAAGTGATCCATCTCAAGTTGATGTTCCTATTATTGTAGCACGACCATAAGGCATGAATATGAAACAACAACAAATTGATGCTCCTAATCCAATTATGGATGCCATTGTTCAAGAAGAGGATAAAATACTCAAGTTAATGAGCAAGTGCAACCTCTAGAATAATAGAATTAAGGAAGTCTACTAGAGAGGAAATATCGACTATTTCAAATGAGTATATAGTTTATGCACTTGAGCATGAAAGTGAATTGAGCATTGATAATGTCCCAGTCTCTTTTGACCAAGCCATGAACAGTAAAAATTCTAACAAGTGGTTGATGGCCATGAAGGAATAGTAGAAATCTATGGATGATAACAATGTTTGAGAAATGACGAAATTGCCAAAGAATTCTAAAAGAGCCAGGTGTAAGTGGGTCTTTAAGACCAAGCAAGACTCTAAGGGCAATGTCGAGAGGTATAAAGCCATACTTGTCATATAATTTAAGTAATTGATAATTGTTGTTGTTGTACACACGGTGATGATTAGTGTAGTATTGAGGATGTAATTATCGGGTGTAAATCACTCTGTCCCATATCGTGAAAATATAAGTCTTGAAAAGAAAACAAGAACACTCTATGTTTTGGGTTCTGATTCTTTCATCAAGAATCAAACAAGTCTTGATATCATCACAAGGCGAATTGAGGATTATACAGTATTGAGATTGGATAACATTTATTATTTCTTTCTTTTGGGATATTCAATTATCATAATAGAATCATCAAGTAAGTTTTCATTTTTTTACCGTAATCCATAATAATTATGTCATGAGCTTAATTGGGTTGATTTAATTACCCTATCAAAATATTTATATATTAATTGCTTCCACATGCAAGATTAATTGATTTTAACATAAACTACAAACACATATTAATTTATTTATTCGTTGATGGTATATATATATTTTTTAAGACCGCAAAACGTTAATCATTATTTTCATTAAGCTACACCTTTGCTTAACTGGATTGATAGAAAAGATTCCAAAACGACGAGTATAAAAACGACAACTTGTTTAGAGCATTACCAGGTTCAGCTAGAACTACTATTACATTTACAAGATGCGAAACCAGTGTTTTATTTTGCTTTGCATTCTGGTTTTTGGAGTTGTCGGGACCTGCCATGGAGCTGGACTCAAGAAGAACTTTTACGTGAACAAATGCCGTGATGCAGAGGCGATAATCAAGAATGCTACTGAACAACGAGTTGCCAAAGATCCCACATTGCCCGCGAAGTTCCTGAGAATGCATTTTCATGACTGTTTTGTTAGGGTAAGGACATGCTGAATGTTGTTAAGTCATAATGGCCACGTACGTAATTACATGTCATCGGAAAAAATTTCAGGGTTGCGATGCCTCGATCCTGTTGAACACAACGGCCAACAACACTGCCGAGAAAGACGCGGTTCCGAACCAAACCCTGTCCGGATTCGATGTCATCGACAACATAAAAGCCGAGGTCGAGAAGAAATGTCCGAACGTGGTATCATGTGCTGATGTTCTGGCCTTGGCCGCTAGGGATGCTGTTTCTGTCCAAGTGAGTTAAACCGAAACGATATTAATTTCGATTATATGAAAGCATTTAACGGTTTAATTACTTGCAGTTCCGAAGACCGTTGTGGGAAGTTCTTACCGGTAGAAGAGACGGTACAGTGTCGCGAATTTCCGAGGCGTTGGCTAGTATTCCTTCCCCTTTCTCAAACTTCACCACCCTTGTTCGGAATTTCGCTAACCAAAGCCTCAATGTCCGTGACCTGGTGGTCTTATCAGGTACATATTTTAATAACAACACGTAATGAAAAGCTTGATCATTCGACGTTAACGGACCGTTAAACGTAGGCGCTCATACGATCGGAGTAAGCCACTGCGTTGCCTTCGGCAACAGGCTATACAACTTCACCGGAAGAGGAGATCAAGATCCTTCCTTGAATGCAACTTATGCAGCATTCCTGAAGACTCAATGCCAAAGCCTAAGTGACAACACGACCACCGTACCGATGGACCCCGGAAGCGGACTAACGTTCGACAGCAACTATTATGTCACGCTTAAGCAGAACAAGGGACTGTTTCAGTCCGATGCCGCCCTCTTGACGAACACCGGCTCGAGCAGCGTCGTCAACCAGTTGCTCAACCAGAACAAATTCTTCGCCGAGTTCGCACGGTCTATGAAGAGGATGGGAGCGATTCGAGTTCTCACAGGGAATGCAGGAGAAATTAGGAAGAAATGCTTCGTTGTTAACTAATTCTTGAAATGACTCTGCTTATGTATGTGATGATTTATTACATCTTAATAATGTTTGTTTTCAAACGCTCTGCTCATGTAGCACTGTTGTAAGTCTTGTCTATTATTGTATTTTGTCATTTTCAATAAATACATATTTGTTTGTACCAAAAAAACAAGGGTAAAGTACACAAATGGTCCCTCAACTATAAGATACTACTTTATTAAGTCCCTCGGCTATTAAAAGTAACAAGAGAGTCTTCTGACTATAATGTTTCTTTGTTAAGTCTCTAGCCTATTAAAAAGTTACAAAATAGTCATTCAACTATTCATTATGTTCCAAACTCGTCATTTTCTATTAAAAAATTGACGATTGTTTAAGCTTGATGTTAACATGATAAATATGATATGATGGTCGTTTGAAATTCTGAGATCAAACTTTATCATATCACAGTCAACAGGATAATGTCCAGGTAACATCGTCCATTTTCTAATAGAAAAAGACGAGTTTGGAACATAATAAATAGTCGGTGATCATTTTGTAACTTTAATAGTCGATGAACTCAACAAAGCAACACTCTTATAGTTTGAGGACCATTTTGTAACTTTTAACAATCAAGAGACTTAATAAAATAATACTCTATAATCAGGGGACCATTTGTGTACTTTACCCAAATAAAAAAATTCTATAATTTTCATATTCATAAGTCATCTTTATTGATTAAAAAACCCTAAACCTCAAATGCCTTGCAATTCCTTTTGTTTAGACGGTCCTGCAAATTATACAAGTAACCCAAATCCACAAGCGATGATAATAATAATAATAATAATAATAATATAATAATAATAATAATAATAATAATAAAACCCAAAGTAAATATTATTACTGAGAAAATCTCTATATTATGGGCCTTAAGTCAGTCCAGTCTCATTTAGACAATCTATATATTATCATGTGAATTGTATTTTGGTCACCTCTTAGTGAGAAAATTGTCTCCATTTAAAAATATTATTATTATTATTATATTTAAAAATAGGCCAACTCTATATTTTGGTTAAATTTTATTATATAAACATAATTTTTTTTAGTTTTTTTAAGTGATTATAAAATTAGTATTTATTTAAAAAATTAATTTATTAACATCGTATACATACTTTAAAGAAGACAAAATATGTTTATTGTGGTAATAAGAAAAATCAAATATTGATCGTTAAATTTTGTTATAGAATACAAGTAACATACGAGCATAAGCAATAAGAAATATTAAAAAATATCAAAATAAAATTTTACTTATAACTGAAATATTACGTGAAGTACTGTTTATTATTTAAACATATCATGTCATTTAACAACAATTAATGATAAATAAATATAATAATTAATTTTAATATATCACGTCACTTTTAATAATAGTTAACGATATAATACTTATTTTATAAAAAAAACATAATTTAATGATTATATATTTGCTTTATCCCTTGATTTGTTGTTATCGAATACCATTCCTATCAAAATACGTAAGTTGGGTAAGCAATAGATGTGATTTCTATTGGGTCTCGGCCACCGTATTGAAATTAAAAGAAAATGACATTTTGGCTAAACGATAAAAACATAAGACCATGACTTTATCTAACATCGACGGATCGATTTAAGTGATAAACGATTTAATATTATTTAAATAAAATTTTGGATTCGAGTTGTTATACATACAGAAAATTCTAGTAAAAAAATTTATTCATAAAAATTAAGTATATGAAATAAGTCGGTCTGAACTAATAAGACAAAACATGAAACCGAAAGATCAACAACAAAAAATAAATAATAAATAAAAACTAAGTGATTTAACGACAAAAATGTACAAAGCTTTGCGCACTGGCCTTTCACACGTAATTAAACGTGGTTTTGTCCCAGTCTTACAATAACTCGATTTTAACTCACTCTTGACTCCTTCCTTCCAACATCACCCACCCATTTACCCGTTTTCAGAGCATACTTCACTGTTCTTGACATTCAAATTTAAAAAAAGGTAAATTGAATATTTAGTACCTAAACTATCAGTTTTGACTCGTTTAGTATTTAAACTTTCATTTTTTTAAAAAGTATACCTAAAGTTTAGTTTTTATTTCATTTTAGTATTTCGTCGTTAAAAATTTTAAATTTTGTTTCATTTCTGTACTCGTTCAAAATTTAACGTTGAGTTTTGAAAAAAATGAAAGCTTAGGTACCTAAAACGGATCAAAACTGATAATCTAGATACTAAATGCGTTAAATTTTTAACAGCGGATACTAAAATAAAATGAAAACTACACAATATGAATGGTTTTGAAAAAATTGAAAGTTCTGGTGTTAAAACATACCCAAACTAATAGTTTACGTTAGGCATAGGGCTGTAAATGAGACGAGACAGATCGCGAGCTACTCGGGATCGACTCAGTCAATGCTCGATAAATACTCCGATCGAATGGACTCGACTCGAAAAGCTCATGAACAGCTCGAAAATATAATATATTGAAATTTTATTTTTTTTAAAAATAAACTATTAATAATATTAACATTTATGTATTGATTTTTTTTAAAAATACAGTAAGACTTTTATGTATTTAAGGTCCATGTTCGAGTTTGAGGCTTCAATTTAGTTAAGTTTAAGATTTTTTTTTCATTTCGAGCCTTTTCGATCTGCTCACGAGCTTTACTTTAGGATTTTGAGTTCGAGTCGAGCTTAAAAATTTTAAGCTCGCGAGTTTTCGAATCGAGTCGAGCTCCATTTCATAGTTTTCGAGTCGAGTCGAGCTTAGCAATACTCGAGCTCGACTCGACTCGACTCGTTTACACGCTTAGTTAGGCAGTATCTGTTCAGCGATGATTCTCAATCTTTTGACATTAAACGCTCACACCTCTTACATCTACGATGCTTGAACCCGAGTCCTAAAGATATAACAACAATTCTTTCATCTTAGAGGTCACTTGATTCGTATTAAATAAAAAAACACATAAAAGTTAAAGGTAGAACAAATTATAAATTTATGATTTAAATTAAAACATTTATGAAGTAGTTTTTCTTTCAAGTTACGTCTACTTTAATTAAAGAGGTAAGGTACAATGCATGTGATTTGTGAGTCTTTGTTTTGTTTTTATCCGGAAAAGGAGACAAGCCAAACGCATAACGCATACAATGTACATGGTTAGGCTTAAGCCTGTGATTTTTCAAACAAATTTTAAAACATAATCAAATTCATTGTACAATGTTTCTTTTATCTTTAATTTGAAATACGCTTACATATAAAATAATTGTTTAAACTATACTATTTTTTAACAAGTGTGTAATTTTTTTAAATCATTTAAGTGTCTAATATTACCACTTTAGGTGTCCGAAGTGTCGGGGCGAAAACAAGAATTTATTATAACTGGACTAAAATATTTTGTACTTTTCATCAATATTGTTTTAATTGGGAGGTTTAGTAAATTTGTCTTTATTTATTTTTTAAAAATTATATATATAATATTAATTAATATTTTAAAAAATAATTGGCGGGAGCCAAGGGAGACTCGGCTCCGTATGTTCCGCACATGATTGTCGTTAAAGAACACATGTCACGTTCTGGTAATTTTAAAATTTTATTTAAAATTTAAAAAATACGATTAAAATACACATAATTTTCATAAATACTTTAAAAGCTCCAAAACTTTGAAACCCTCATTTCAACCCCTAAACCCACACCGATCATCTCCTTTTGTCGTAGAAAAAGCTCCACCCGATTTCATCTTCGGGACGATAAATAATCCTATGAAATCGCGACCAATCGATGGTCGATCAACGTTTGTACCTCGTGAACCATACGTTGAAAATCGTGATCTCGATGGTCAACCAGCCGTGACAATAGCGACAAGAGCGACATCAGCAAGTTAAGATTAAATATTTAGGATTTCTAGGGATTTTGGTTTTTATAATTTAAGAAAATTTGATATTTTTTTTTATAATAATATATATTTAAAAAAAATTAAAATTATCAAACCACGAGACGCATTATTTAACAAAGAAATTTAACGATAATTACGACATAAAAACTTGAAATAATAATATTTTGTAATACTAAGCACATAAATGATTAAAAAACAATATAATTTAATCACTTATTTTATAATAAGCCTTTGAAATATTAAATTTTGATGTGAAATTAATGGAATTGAAGAAACCGGCATGCAGCCTGTGAGACAATTGGAAGTCGCTGATGTGCCTTTTCTCATGACAAAGTTTCCAAATAGAAGACGAGAAAAAGACAAATTTATTTTAATAATATGTTTTTTTGGTAGGTGCTCATTACACATGATTGTTGTTTGGTTTTCACCTTCCTAAATGGTTTCATCAACCTTGGAATTTCTATGGGCCGCTTTTATTATTATCATTACGTTCCAAGTCTGCTACACTCATAATTCTCAAAATCCATATTTAAACTTATTTTTAGTTAAAAAGATTCTTTTTTATCGTAAAATTAATGATAAACGGGTAAAAAAATAAAATAAAAAAAACATGGTAGAAATTAGGGGTGTAAACGAGCCGAGTCGAGCTCGAGTATTGTTGAGCTCGACTCGACTAGAAAATTTTGAAATGAAGCTCGACTCGACTCGAAAACTCGCGAGCTTAAAATTTTCAAGCTCGACTCGAACTCGAAATCCTAAACTGAAGCTCGTGAGCAGCTCGAAAAGGCTCGAAATGGAAAAAAAATTATTAAACTTAACTCGATTGAAGCCTCAAACTCAAACTCAAACATGAACCTTAAATACAAGAAATCTTACTGTATTTTTTTATAAAAAAATCAATACATAAATATTAATATTATTAATATTTTATTTTAAAAAAAATAAAATCTTAATATATTATATTTTCGAGCTTCTCACGAGCTTTTCGAGTCGAATATCGAGTAGCTCGGCTCGTTAAGAACTCGAGTCGAGCTCGAGCTCGAGTCGAGTCCATTCGATCCGAGTATTTATCGAGCTTTGATCGAGTCAATCTCGAGTAGCTCACGATCTATCTCGTCTCATTTACA